ATTATAAGTGTTTGATCACCACATTTGAGTGATCATTGCAAAAAATGTGTTTATGTATATATATTCTGTTTATGTATACACTGTATTCTATATATAGTACCAGTCAAATGTTTGGACACACGAATGGGAAAGTGTCCAAACTTTTGACTTGTACTGTACTATAATATAAACAAAGAATATCGGCCGATATATCGATAACTGCCTTTTTTTACTCCCTAATATCGGTATCGGCCCCAAAAAGCCCATATCGGTCGGGCTCTAATTAAAAAACTATGTGTATATAATATTTATTTTATATTTTTATTTTATATAACTTATTTTATATATAAAGGCCATAAAGCTTCAAATTAGACTAAATGTTTTCATACCAATGTTCAGGCACTTTGAGTCCAGGTAGAGGGGGTTTAGGAGGGGCCACTTCCTCATCAGGAACATCATTTGGGGTCTCTGTGGCCTCGGCTGGGGTAGGGGTATCATTTAAGACCGTTTCCTTCAACTCAATGACAGGGGGCTCTGGAACACTGCCATAATAAAAGTGGTTGAATTAACAACACATAACATCATATTACAGGTCAACAGCCCAGCTGAATTTAAAGTTGGATTTCAACATCATCCACCTCAATTTTAAAGAATTTCTCAAGGCATAATGTTTTTCAAAAAAGGCTTCCATTTACCGCTGTGGACTGGCGGCAGGAAGCAGGGTTTTGACAGGTGTCGTAGGGGAGGGGTGCTCCTGCTTCTCAATGGCGACTTTAACCAGCTCCTACAGGAAACCACAGGCAAAGTCGGCTTTACACACAAAACTATCAACTAAGAACAAAACCCATGGCTAAATACAGCTGGAATATGGGTAGAGAACAGATGTCAGACAGAAGACAAGTCATAACAGAGTTCTACTTGAACATTAATACCTTCACACCATCCAGCACTGCTTTGATCACAGTGGTGACGGTTGCAACTGTTTCTTTATCTTCCAAATTCACCCCCTCCAGCATCACTTGGTCCGACCAGCGAATGAGGTTTGCAAGACTTTGATAGAGTCGACTGAGACAGGAGGACACTCTCGAACTGGTGACAGATGGACAGGGAAATAAAATATTTTTAGTATTTTTTTATGTGGTTTGTCATTTTCATTTTTTTTAGTGTTAAGTTTTTTTTTTTTTAGTACTTCAACTTAAACTTATTTTATTTCAGTTAAGCAACATTTGTAATTTTTGTTTACGTTTTTCATCTAATATTTATACCCTATTTCTGTTTTATTTCAACTAACGAAAACTTTTAACGATAAACTTTTATTAATTTTATTATTAGCTAACCATAACTACACTTATCCAAAGTATTCATGTCATCTTGCAGTAATTTAGGCAGCAGCTTTCAAGTTCACTGCTCTATGAGACATCAACCTTATTCTGTATCTTGGGAATATATGCGAGATGAGACACAGGCCTTTGTGTACACAGTGAAATCCTCTTCGACTACAAACTGAATTGGTCACAGTGGGACTTACCGCTCTCTTGGAGCGTGCTGCTCTGGAATGAATTCTGGTGATGACACTATTGTGCAGGCCACAAAACCATTTAGGGGCAATTTATCCTCACACACATTAAAAGAATGAAGAGCTCAGGGTTTGCGAGAGTGTTCTGTGAACTTTCAAATCATATGATACAGATCCTTCTTATCAAAGCCGGAAAGACTCCGACAAGGGAGCTTAATGGAGTTTTGTCAGGATGTTCGACTCATGTGGATACTAGCTTTGAAAGCTGGGTGTGCGTAGATTAAGTATTTAGGAGACACAAAAAAGAAAAACACATATCAAATATGTAAGCTTTTCTTTGTGTATTGATATATTTCCTATTGAAAACAGGAAGTTGGGTCAGGAACAGTTTGGCACTTTTAATAAATAGCCAAGAGACCTTAGTCAGAGTAGCGCCAAAATTACTTTTTTAACAAAAATTAGGCTGTGAGGGATAGAAGTACAGTGCGTTTAATGGATTGTGCCATTTAAGAACATACTGACTGTTTAGCTGACGAAACGTCTTTCTGAAAAATAAAAACCTCAGTATACAAAAACTCCATAAAACAGTTTTGAAAGTTCTGAGTTGTGAAAATGACATGATCTTGGACCTTTATACAGTGTGTGCCATTGTAAAAACTGTAAGTCTATCCCTCAGAGCCACGCTTTCATCCACGTTAAATTCAATAAGGTGTCTAACCTAATTAAGGTGTATGGGTTTTAGTTTATATATTATGCATAAACATGATAATGTACATGGTAAACATACTAATTACTAGCTAGCTAGTTTAGCTAGCAGTTGGTTTAAGCAAGAAGGACATTATGATTTGCACAATCAAAAATCTGCAATTGGGTGAGTTGTCATTAATATTTTAGTCTGACCTCAACAGCAAATTCAGCGGTTACTGAAAGTTAATGCATTTAAAATTGCGCAGGACTGGAATTACCCAGGATGATGGAAGTCGTATCTGTCTTATCTCACAGTCACTGATGTGACTGCTAATCTAAACAGGTTAAATTTCCCATGAGAGCCAACTTCCTGAACCACTGTCTAAGAAAACGCGCTGCTCTGCTAATAAAAACACGGCAAACCAATAAGGTGTGCTTGTGCTTTCAGAGGACGTGATCTTTCCATCCGCTTCTAGATCCTCACTCAGTGGAAAGTGCCATCAAGTGTCACTAATTCATATCCTCTTTTTTTTTTTTTTGCATATCCTCTTCTGAAACAAACTAGTCAACCACAACATCTGTACTGACTCCCCCCTCCCAGAGTCTGGGTTTAAAACATCAATGCAAGAAGCTTCATTAAAGTAAAGTTGTCTGGTAAATGAAAACTTGTTTTTAGACAAGAATTTGTAATGCATTTTGCATTGATTTCAACTGTCATTTTGTGATTTATCCTACAAAGCAATCATTCTCAGTCAAACAAATTTGTGCAACACTGCATTTCACAACAGCTCTATATCATAAAAATGGCAAAGTAACAAAGAAAAATGAAGACAAAAATATCGTCAGCATGACCTGATAAATTTAAAAAGAGCAAAGAAACTTCCCTTTCCAAATTCTGATTCTTTTGTTACTAAAATAATGGAGACATCTCTACCAGCTAAAACAAGGGCGGTTCAAGAGATATGTCTGAAACTAGAAGACACTGGCCAACATCCTCCTACGCAAACCAGCATCTACATCGCAGGGCCATTTAGAGATGAATAACTGAACTTCTGACAAGAAGCTACCCAAAAGTGATTCAAATTTCCTCAGAGCAAGGAAGTGACAATGCTGGCAACCTCACAGGGTAGTTAAAAGACATTTTGCTTTATTCATAAAAAGTCACACATACAGTCACTGAGTGCAGGAGAGTAAAACATAAAACTTGCACTGAACAATTTCTGCACCACTGTCTCTAAACTAGCCTGATATGAATCAAGTGATTCAAATCTTTCTGAATCAACTTCTTAAAGGAGTAGAGAAAATTTGCTGAAAATGACTCATCCAAAAGCCATCCAAAATGTAGCGGAGTTTGTTTCTTCATCAGAACAGATCTGGAGAAATGTATCAATACATCCCTTGCTCATCAACAGATCCACTGGAGTGAATGGGTGAGTCCAAACAGCTTTATTCAAATCACAGCTTTAAAATGTAGATACAATTATCCCCCTGGCACAAAAAACAAACCCATAAAAAATAACGCATAAACCACAGATATATTTATTAATGATAAGATGATGCAATTGCATTTTGCATCCATTTCAATGTTTCAGCACATACCGTGTGTGTGTTTATATATATATATATATATACATAAATATATGTATAGCATTCTATCTATTTGTTTTCTTTTTATTTATTATACAATTATAATTCTGACTTTCTGACTACTTCTGATTAACAAAAGCAAAAAAGGCCTCCAACACTAGCTTGCTCTATTCTTTTTCTATTCTCTGAGTGAACTGTTAACCTATAGTAAATGTCTCAAACTTCCCTAAAACTTCTGATAAAGGAAGTGACATTGGTTTTTACTTGTCAGTGTAACCTATTTCATCAAAAGTCACAAAAACATGAGTAAAAATCTTCAAGTTAACAGGTTTATGTCAGGAGTAGTATCTCATAACCAGGAGTATCTCTCTACCCAGCTCAGCTGTACCTATTTGTATTGTATATAATTCGTCTGTATTAATTACGCAGAAACTATCTATATCATGTTGTCATTTGTGTCACAAGCTCGTTAAAACTATACGAGCACTTATACAACATATATGCGAAATGTATCATATAAACAGTTCAGACTATTAATATTAACGTTAATGATCAAGTTACGTTTAAATACACAGAATAGTAACGTTACATTTTGTGGACAACAGACCATTAAAACACACCAAACACGACCAGAAAGAACCAGATAGCAGCACAAAAACAACTGTAACACAAACTCTACAGATAAACAGTGCAACAAAACGCAAACTACATCTTTAAAATAAACAACAAATAGGAGAAATTGGATAAAAACGAGTCTGACAGCTAACTAAAGTCAACAACAGCGCAATGAGCAGCTCCGTCCACACCCAAATACAGCTGTCTGAGACAAACTCATTTAGACATTAATTCGATTATTTTATAAATTAATTTAAAGACCTGAATATATTATCTAAGGCGTTTATATGTCGCGTTTGGCTATTACAAATAAGATAAAGATAAGATGCTTTGATCCTGTCAGTGGCCTTGAACCCTCGTCTGACGCTAATGCTAACGCGGCTAACTGAAGTTCATCTTCAAATGATTAATACATGTAAACAAAGGTAAACGCTTACCTTGCTTACTGTCTATTTTTCCAGACATTTTGGTGACTAAGTGAGCTGGTCTCGATCAACAATCGAAAGATGTTCGTTTCTCGCCGTTATTCCAGCATCTTAAGGAGACAGACCGGTCGGTGTGGTCCTGCTCTCTGTGTTTTTGGCTCTGCCTCCTCCACACACACACAGTAGCCTACCCTATCCCAGAATTCATAGCGCGCCAGTGAAGACGGGTTTTTTATTCAAACAAAGTGGGTGACGGTTTTGTGGCGGCCGACAAATACACTTAGTTATATAAATGTAAGTATTGTGTTTGAATGTACTGAAATAGCTTGTATTTTTTTTCACTTGTATTTTTATTTTATTATTATTATTGTTGTTATTATTTTCCGTCTTTTACTATTGCAAAATAGAGAAAAAAACATGTTACATTTAAATAACTAATAGCTTCTTAACCTTGGACCTCATTCTTGAAACACAAAATGACAAATGTAAAAAAAAGTGTCAAACACTTTTATATATATATAGGCCTACTTTTCTGAACTTGGGATCCCTAAGTTACCTGCATGGTCTTGGCTAAGCCTGAAATACACCACCTGGCGGTGCCGGGGGTGAACCATCACCAACATTTCCTCCAGTATAAGGTATAATAAATACAGTCAAAAACTAACAATTCAGGCTCCATAGTTATTTTCAGTTTCATTAACAAATCTCAGGATGGCAACTCTCTTCTTGCACCGTTGCCACACGACAGGAGCATTAATTGGGAACACCTGCTGGCACAATCAGGAAATTCTGGGAAGGCTAGTCTCGGAGCGTCCTTCGAAGGCCGTGTCGGCCGCATCCTTCGAAGGACCCGTCCTCCGAAGGATGCGATCTTTGAATTGGGACACAACAGCTGAGCTCTTGTGTCTCCGTTGGTAAAAAAAATTAGCCAATCACCATCGAGTGTTCACTTTCAGCGCTGAGGAGTGTTGAGAAAAGAAACCTCGTAAGGGAGGCTAGCCTCCCTTCTGATATCAACCAATCATCAGAGAGATGTAAATTACGTGATATTAGTTTGAACGTCTGCCGCTGCGCTGATACTGTACCAAGTACTTATGAGTAGCGATATTGAATATTTGATTGCCAACAGATTTATAAAGCTGTCATCAGGGGCGGATTTAGTGATTTAGTGATCATCCAGGCAAAATAGATGAATGGGGCCCTATGTATTTGCACACATTTACAAATTTAGCCTCGAGGTTCCTTTTTTGTTGCGATGCTTGCTGCTGCATAATGGTGCCCC